TCTGAATTTCAGGAAAATATAAATGATAAAAATTTCCCCTTTTGGCTGTGGATTGAAGGAATCTTGGAGCTTATTAAGAAGCACCTCCTGTGTCTCTGGAACGATGGGTAAGACCTGAGTGGAGTTAACAGAGATGTGGTCATTGCCTCAAGCCTTTCATTTAGACTAGCAGTTACATCCTTAGGCTGTGATTTTGTTTGTGCTGTTAGTTTGGGTCCAACAAAGTGGAACCTGCAACCAGAAAAGTATGGGGGAACAAAATTCTAATAGCAAGAAAGTCTCTATTGATGCAACTGCTTGAGTAAGAGTGCCAGATGACCAAGACGTGCCACCAAAACCACAGAACAGCAGTGCCTTGAATGTTAGGTTTTTGCCTCTGCTTCAACTATAAGTATATTCTTTCTCCACACCCTAGAACAGACCCTCTTTCTGTTTGTCTGGAAAGACTAAAGTATGAAGAATAACTCAAAAGATCATCCATATTAAAAACATACACACACCCCACCCCCAAAAAGCCCAGCATTTGTGAGCCTGTAGGTGGCAGCAGCCAGGTTCTGATACTAGTAGTATCAGTCCAGAAATTAATCTTTACTGATTTTAGAGTAGAAAGTAATAAGACTGCCAGATTGAAAACCAATTCCATTTGCCTTTTAGTACCAGGTTTGTAAACCTTGAATTCTAGCCTTCCTGCAAGAAACGGGTTCACCCAAGGTCACAATCCTGCATTTTAGTTGTCTGTTTAGGTTCAGCCACATTATGAAATCCTGTGGACAGTTTGCTCACAGCAGAGCATCCTAGTATCCTGCAAGTCTGCAGAATCACTCTGTCTTGCTACAGACTCCAAATTATTACCTCCTACTTTCATATGAATTTTATCTCTTTATTCTGCAGCCTTGTTTCACTGCCTAAAATGCAGCAAGCAGATGACAGGCACACAACAGAACTTCACATTTGCCAAATCTAGAGATGCTGGGATCACTTGAGCTAGCATGCTAACTTGTGACTGCCTTCCTCCCTCCACCAGCAGATTTTGCCCAGCTGGGCAATCTGTGCTTCAGCTGTTTCCTATTCATATCCATGAGCTAGGGATACCACCACTTCCACTTCTGAGCTTAGGCATTCCAGATCAGGATGGAGACTGTGTTCCTCTTAAGGGGCATGTGGGTAGCGCTTGCTGAGCGGTGCAGCTCTACAGGGGTGTCTGGCTTCTTTCAGGCACAGCTGGAGGAGCTGCCAGGCTCTCCACACTGCTAAGAGATCACATTTTCAGACTTTAACTTACATATTTCTTAGACATAGGAGCTCCAGTGCAATGGAGACTTTTGTTATTGTAACAGAGTCGTAATCCTCTCCTATTTTATGTTCCATCTGAATATGGCTGTGTACCTACAGGATGCTTTTTGTATATGGCTTTGACGGTATACAGTCTCAAACAACACTACATTGCCTCTCAGTTATGAGCAATCCTCTAAGTTTTATTGAAAGGAGAGGTGCAAGTTAAATCCTAAATGTAATCAAAAATCAGAGATTTAGTACTATCACTCCTCCACCACCAGCTTAAAAAAAAACACACAACCACACACACCACACAGTTTTTTTTCCCCCCTCCTAGGGGGGCAAAAAGGGAAATTGAAGGGAAAAAACACTACAAAGATACTAGAATGGGAAAGATTGCCAAGTGTGTAGTATTAATTAGGACAGTGACTCCCCTTGTATACAAAGGGATAAGTAGTACAGCCTCAAGAGCACTTATCTTCTGCTTCATACATGAGGGATGGGAAGGCAAGAGTTTATCATTTAAAGGAGGCATTTACTACTCACAAAATGCATTTATCTGAACCACGCCATTTTAGTAAAATCAGAACAAAACCAAGACAGTTTACAGCCCCTAAAGTTTCTAAGTAAAAACTATATTACTTAGTAGTTTGTGTAAAGAGTACATTCCCTAACTTAATGGCTACAGTACAGTTGTTCCTCAAAATATTCCATGAAGTTTTGAATAACAAGAAGCAGTTCAAAGAAATTCTGACCTTTTAAAGACAGTCATTTGGGGCTTGACCTAAGGTTATGACTTGGTACTGGCTTGTAAGATTTCCTTTCCCCCCAGTACCCGTAATGCTCCACTGAGCACACATTATTACTACAGTGGCCTGTTTGCATACATTAGCGACTTGCTAAGCACAGCGAATTTTGGTGGTTGAAATAGCACAAGCAGAACAGCTTCTCTGAAAAACGTGGAGAGGAAATTAAAAACACCTCATGCAAAAAACCCCACACCTGTGTGGATGCAATCTGTTAACAGGCAAATTTAGTTCATTTCATCTACCAAAGAGAAAATGAGCAACTATTCCTTAATACACTTTCAAGGTTAAAGCTGCTTTCTAACCCCTGACCATGGTGAACACACATAACTTGACTTCTACTTCCATATCCCAGTTTTAGTAGCAAAAGTCAGTTTCTTGTATTCCAAGTTCAGAAAAGCCACCAGGCAACAGGGAGAGCAGTGAGGGGAGCTGTGGCAATTCACGGCTTACACAGCGCAGCTCCTGTCTGCCAGTGTTGCTGCTAGTTTCCCAGCTGTTCCCAGGACAAAGCCTTCTGGGAGACTTATGAGTGCTTTAGTTTTTTTTTTTTCTCTCCTCAAGTGATGGAACCTTTTTAGTTTTGCTTGTTAGATTGGCACAGCTTAGATTTGATACCAAGGAATGAATTCATTTTTTTTTCTTTTCAATGTTACAGCTGCATCATGGGTTTCATCAGTAAAGAAAAAGAACGTGCTTTGTTAAAGGACCAGAGTCCAGGGACATTTTTACTAAGATTCAGTGAAAGCAGCAGAGAGGGAGCCATCACATTTACCTGGGTAGAAGGATCTCAGAATGGTAAGCCAGTGATAGAGAACATCTTTGTCTTCCAAACATAAGCATATATCAGAACAAGAAAGTTCTATGCTCTTCTCTTTCACACCAAGCATCAATTGAGAACACCACCCTAGCAGTACCATCCTTACAAGCAACAGGCCACAAACCACAGCAGACATATGCCTTAACTGGCATAGTTCATAAGGCACACAGTAGACAGTTAAGAGCTTCAGCCAGGACTAGTAATGCTTCTCAGATACTATTTTTGGCTTAGAAGTTTGTTGAGGACAAAATGCCTCAATTGCTTCCCTTGCTTACTTAAGTTTCTTCTTCTTAGCACACTGTTAGTGCAAACACATCTGTCTCCCCCTCCATACCCTTATCATCCTCCTAATCAGAAATTTCTCTCCTGTAGCAGTTCATTCTAGCTACACCCTGTCCCCCATACTACTGTGCTCCCCCTTTGCATTATCTCATAGAGAGCATTCCTTTCTTGGACTGCTTTCTTTTACTCATTGTCTATTGCATTTGTTCTTTCCTTCCCCTGTTCTCCCCAGGTAATTCACATATTCACTTACTTTATTCTCCTAGTAGTTCTCCTTGTTCCTGTTTCCAGGAAGGGACAAATGAACAGCAAGGTACCTCTGTTGGTTGGGGTACTTCTCTCACCCTCTTTCAAGAAGCCCAGAAACCTCAACAAGATACCATCACTTCTGACTTTTATCAGGGTTCTCCCCCTTATCATTCTACTTAAATCAGCCCCACCTGCCAGGATGCTACAGCTGTTGGCACTCCACTTGGCTGGGCCCAAGTTCTGCAACATCTGAAGAGAGAAGTTGCTTATTATAATTGAATAACCTTCTTTTTCTTTGCTATCTTTATAACTGAGATGCTCAAAGACTGAAAAAAGAAGTGAGAGCATTGGGAGCTTTAGAGCAGTTTTTAATCTTTCTCTCTTTTCATAGGCCCTCGAGGTCTATTAGGATCAAACTTCCTAGTAGGTGATAAGGTTTAAATGGCCCCTTCTGGAAGCAGGCTGAAAAGGGCTGTTTACAGTAAATGGTAGCACTGCTTGCATTAAAGAAATACTGCAGTTAATTTCCATGGAGAGGGCACCCCAAAATGCACAAAGAACGATTAGTGTATGTTATCCCCCATCTCCTTTACTACCCTGCAGAACAGTGGTGCTCACTTTGAAAATGAATGTTACAAATAATTATACTGTATGGTAGGTGTCATTCAGATAAGCTTTCTGCTCACTTGACCTCTGAACTTGTGGGTGCAGCTGCAGTTTTTGCGAGCTGTTTGAAACCATCTTGAAGTCGTCTTCTCTCGTTTGTAGAGCCCCAGTTCCACTCAGTAGAACCATACACCAAGAAGGAGCTCTCTGCTGTTACTTTCCCTGATATCATTCGCAACTACAAAGTGATGGCAGCTGAAAACATTCCTGAAAATCCACTGAGATTTCTGTACCCAGATATACCCAAAGACAATGCCTTTGGCAAATACTACTCCAGACCAAAGGAGGGTGAGTGCTATAAATGGCTAATGTGGTGTAAGTGTGAGGTTTATTCTTGAGATCCTTTGGCACTGGATAATTCTGTAGCATATGAAGAAAGGGTAACAACTGGACTGAAAGTCTTGGCCACCTAACCTGTGCTTGAGCGCTTCTCAGATGAAAGGTGAGAACAGGCATCTGAGAAATTTAGAAGGTCAAGAAAAAGTCTGTTTTTAAAGAGGCACAACATGAGATCTAGTCAGATCAAAACCTGATAACAGAATTGTTTCTGGCCCTCTAATTCAGTTTTTATGTCTGTCTGTTAGATACCTCAGAGATATAAGGTCCCACTAACAGCCAGAGCCATGATTGTTGTATTTGATTATTACACTGCACTGATGCTGGCTGGCCAGGCCTCGCAGCATGTGTTGATACACCTATAGAAAATGTTAGGGGTGGTTTTTTTGTTTTTTTTTTTTTTGTTCCCCAGTGGAACAACTAGAAAAGCAAAAAGGAAAAACTGACCAAAGAGAAATGAATTAACCATAGCGCTGTAAAACGCATACGAGAGACTTGCATGTTATCTGGGCCACCAGCTTTATTTCTGGAACAATAAAGATGGCAATGATGTGAGGTAAACTTGCTAAAAAGAGCTGCTGTTTTTTCCCTCTCCTGCCTTTTTCCTCTCCTTGAAGCCCCAGAGCCTATGGATTTGGATGGTCCCAAGGCAAATGGCTACATCAAGACTGAGTTAATCTCCGTATCTGAAGTGTAAGTTCACACAAAAATGCTGGATTTCTAGGAACTTAATGTAATTTTTCAGCTGTAGTTCATGTGTCTTTGCAATATTTAAGGTGCAGGTGCCCTTATCAAATCTTTCCTCTCGTTCTGCTATGGCTTGAGAATGTGGTCACACCACATTCATGCACTGCTGTCATTGAAAAACTTACTATTTTTAGGTAAAAACCCTAGAAAATTACAGGCAGTTGTAATGACAAATTATTTCTTGAAAAGCAAGTTCTGAAAGACTTGTTCATTTGAATGTAGATCACTGAGTATTCTCAGCTTTCATTTAAAGCCGTGTTGGTTTTGCAGAGCATGGTGTATTTATCACTGGCTCGGTCTCCTGTGAAGGTGACCTCATTAGTGGAACTTTTGGACTTGGAGCCAGACATGGTAGCCCAGCTGTGCCCTGCTTTATTTAAGGCCATCCTTGCTCTTTTCTTCCTATTAGCCACCCTTCTAGACTCCAGTCTCCAGAAAATCTCCTACCAATGTCTCCTGAAGAGTTTGATGAGGTATCTCGGATGGTGGACCCAGCAGAGATTGATACTGTGGTATGTATTATAAAACAGAGTTTTGGGGAGGGGACACTGAGCTGCAGCTAGGGTTTTTTTTTTTTTTTCCCTCCAAATACTTTAACCCAAGCTAATACCTCAGTATGCTTCTCTTCAAATGGGTAAGAAAAACTGGGAATCCAGACAGTTAAACTTTCTAAGGTTATTCATTCTGCCAGAGTTTGGAGGGGAACTGCCCAATGCTATGAGTTGTTCACTTCTTCACGCTTTCTTGTGGTGATAGGGGCGAAGAACAGGGGAACAAAGCTTCCTGTCTTTATCTTGTAGGGGGAAGAAAGGAGGGGAGGAAGAAGTAGGATGTAGTGCTTTGTGTGGTATTTGGGGGGGTGGGAGGGAAGGTGCTATTTGAGAAGGACTTGTTTGTGTTCAGTAGTTAGCAAAGACTGTAAAATGCTGTGGCTTTACTTGGTTTGAGCTGTAATTGTTAACATGTGCTTTCCTTCTTACAGATGTGTTCAGCATATTCAACTTAAACGTTGAGCTTGCTACTGCACCATTAGCACAGCTGAGTAACTTATGCCTGTGTCATCCTATTCCACAGTCAGCAGCTTAGCCAGAGCCTTCCCAAAGAATTGAAATGAAGCTTGTTGCTATTTCATGGCACATCAGTTTCTCAAAGTGAAGGTCCAGTAGCCATTTTTAATCTGTTAACTAAGATATTTAACTAGCAAGAACATAAACAGCAGTCTGAATAGCCTTTTTATGTGCACTTTTCCTTTCTTGTAAGTTCTTTGTTAAAGAATTTTCCATTAACAAGATGCTGTGCCAGAGTGCAGGAAGAGAGGGGGAATACTTATGCTTTCAAGAGGGGAGTGGGAATGAGAGAGGCCTTCAGCAAAGACATTGAGACAGAGGGGAGAAATTGGCATTTTTTTAAGTGAAATGGTTGAGTTTAACATTTAAAATAGTTGGCTGTACATAGAAGAAGGCTTCAAATGAAAGATAGTTCTTTTACAGAGATTATGTTCAGAAAGCTTGCCCCTTCTCCCAGTTCTACTTCTGAAGAACTTTTGCAGCTTTGAATTTTATTCAGCAGCATAGAAAAGGGAGCAGAGAAATGTTCTGCAAGTATTATGTTGCACTGAATCTGTGTATTATTAAAGTCTGTCCTGGCTTTATCTTTTCTAAGGGCACATAGCCTACTGCTCTGCAGGAGAACATGAGCCATAGAAGTACCTGCATTTCGTTTTTGCTTGCTTCTTAATGAAAGGTCTTTTTGCACAACCTTTTTCTTAAAGAGCACTTATTGGATAATGCCTTAAAGCTGCATTAGCACACGTTGGGCATGCAGGTCATTATGTACCATTAATTTACCTACTCTTAGAGCCCCACAAAAGGGGTTTGAAGATGATGTTACTCACATTGCTTAACTTCCCAAGGTAGGGTCTGGTCACTAGTATCTTTTCTTTTTACAGTCATAGTAGCTACCTAATTTAGGTGATAACAAGTGGCATGGCACTTAATGCACTCTTATGCACTATGAACCAGGGCATTTATTTAACTGTGGATTTGAATAGCTAGAAGACGCTGTAGGCTTTGATAAAGAAATGTATTTGCAGTTGGGGAAAAAGCATAGGAAAATGAAGTTAAATTTATATTGAGTAATGGCTGCAGGACTTGCAAACTTCAGTGCTTAAAGGATGCAGGAGGAGGAACAGACTTGTTTCTCAGCATATTTGAAGATAACTCACAGTTGAGACAAGGTTGTCTTAAGCAGATGGTGCCGTGGACTGAGGGCAGGTGTTATTCAGACTGCGAGTTAGCACACAACTGATCAGAGGAACTGCAGAACCCTGCTGGATCCCGTGCCTCTGGTACAGGTGCTTCTGCTACTCCTGAACGTACTGCTGGCCATTCCCAGTGCCTGGGAGGACAGCACTGGTACGCCTGTCTTACAGGGGCTCTGGAGCTGCTTTTCTGCCATTGATATGCTGAATCACTTAGTTGCTGCTTAGAAAATAAATTACTGGTTTGATTTAGGGCATTGTGCCCATGAAGACTGCTGTACCCTCTGCAAAAGCTAGAGAGAAAAGAAATTCTTAAAGGATCTAGAGCATACAAAGTATGTACTTAAATGGAAAGTATCACCCTCTTGTCTTATTTTTGGTGCCCTAGGTTACTGAGGTTAACAGTAGTACAGAGTATCACAGCATGTTCAGCTATTTAATAGAACTGAAGTTTCTTAGGATTTTAGTAAGAGATTAAACATTTGTTCTTTCAGCTGCAGCTTGTACTCATGTTCTATATGCCATAGTTCTTGTTCTCAGTACTTTTATACTTTATCTAATGGGGTCAAATTTTCTTGTGAGATTTAGAGCAATAGCCTCATTATTCATGGTTTTGTCTTTAAATGGACAATAGTTCTAAAAGCCATTTTTTTTTCCAGTGGAATATTAATTCTTTTGCCATTTTAAATAAAGTCCATTGGCACTTTTGTCCTTCCTCATGTGTTTTAGTTATTACTGTGATAAAGATAATGTATTTTTGAGTTTACTGCATATTTCAATTTAAACTTGTTTGTCCAACTAAGCAGTTTTCTATTGCCCTAAGTCAGAGATAATGTTTTTAATCCATTGCATTGTAGCAAATCAGTCTGCATGACAGAGTTCTCAGAATATGGCTTCAGAGAAGCGGCTGTTAAAACAACTGTTTTATTACTGCATATTGCACATCACTATGAATTTTTCAAATTTCAACAGACCCAACCCATATCTCTAATATGAGTTAAACATGAAAATAACTGATCTACAGCTAAAGTCCTGTCAGCTGAGTCTGTCAAACTCACTCCTGTTGTATCATTTTTCTCTGTGGCTGTTAAGTGATGTGATTCCTTGTCTCACACGCTACTTAAGCTTTTATACTACTCTACACAGGCAGGAGAATAATAAAAGGGAAAAAAAAAACTGGTGGAGCCATCATTGAGGGAATAAGACCAAACAAAAAGCAACCAGTGAAATGACGTGGTCCTAGAAGTCTAGTTTAAAAAGCTAGATCAGATTAACTCATTCTGATTTCTTGTGGGCATTGCAGAATTGAAATGAACAGACTAGGGTTTCTGGGACAGCTTTCCCCAGGACTGAAGTTAATAATGCTTATTTGAATTGCAATCGCATAGATTAATAAATAAAAAGCACCACCACCACCTTCTTTGTACTCCCATTTATTATGCTGTAAAAAGCAACACCATCTGGATTGTATTTCTTAAAATAAATAGCCTTCATTTTCAGAACCAGTACAGCTCAAATATAGATTCATTCATGGGAAACTGCTAGAAATACATTCATCACTGTCTGTTCCCCACAATACAGAATCTAGAAGTCAAGATCAGCCCAATCAGTTACAATGACCAGAAGTACACTGCCAGTAAGTACAGTTAGTGATAGTCCAGCTCTGAAGCAAACAAAACAAAAAACCAAAACAAAAGCCCAAAAAACTGGTACAACACATTTTGTTCACAAAGATAGGCTAATTAATGCTAAGACTAGCACAATATTTCTGTGTACAAAGCATTAAGTTAGCTTAACCATTTTAGTTTGTGATACAGAAGCACATACATGACATTAAAACAAAGGGGTGGGGGGGAATCCTCTTTGGAGCTGAAGGAAGTCAGCATTTGAAAGGACAACCAAAAACTATGTTAAAATCTACATGTCAGTGTCATGAAAGATGAACAGCCAAACCAATGTACTGCATATATTATTAGTAACTCCATGTCTAAATAACTGCACTAAATTGGACAGTAATGCATTACATAGTGAGGCGTCTTCTCATCACGAGAAGATACTAAAACTAACCAGCAGAAATGCACTGAAGCTAACACTATGGCTAAAAGCACTCAGTATGATTCAGGAAAGCGTTAAGTTCAGGGACAGCCATGATCTTTATGTTACTCAGTTAAAATGCCTTCTTTTGTGTTTTTTTTTTGTATTTTCTTTTTTTAATATATATATATGTGTGTGTGTATATATAATATACCTAACTTTAAAAAAAAGTCAGTTTAAGCTATGCAAATTTAATTTTCCTTAAATAAAACTAAATCAGATATTTTTCTGAGAAGTTAGAGGATAAGTTTTCATAGAAAAAAATGGAAAAAAAATCAGATTAGCATTGAGATGTAGAATACTAAACTACAGTCCATCTGAAAGACTTTACTCCTCTATATTAATTTGGATAGATCTCTTGCCAGAGAAAACAGGTTAGGATTTAGTTTAGGGTGCAGGAGAAAAAAGGCCCATGTGCTACTCAGCAGAGACCAGCCTGGCCCAGTAAGGAGCCAAAGGCCATTTCATCTCGCTCTTGATTAGAACTAAGGTGGCTGTGACACAGGACATGAAAACATTGAGTTGAAAGATACTAAGTCTTCAGAAAAATAGCTCATCTTCAGCAAAAAAGCAGCTTAAGAGCAGTAAGATTCTGGAGAAAAAGTGTTTGATAACCACGCTGGCAAGCTTGGAAATGGGATTTCAGGGCTTTAGACTTGCAGACTCTTCTAGGATACCATCATCATGAAATCGGTCGTTACTTGTGATGAGTATCAAGCACTTTTCCATTTTATTTTTCCTCCCTGTAGGAAGCAGTATGGCAAACTGACTAGAGGACTGTACAGGAACTCGAGAGGATTTACTCTCAACTATACTGACCTGTTGGGTCATGCTGGGGAAATCTCTTCTCTTTATGCCTCAGTTTCCCCATTTGCAAAAGAAGGATAATGGGGTTCAGATGATTGGTATAAAGTGCATGCACCATTCTAAAAAGAATTTAGCCATTATTTCAGGAGGATTTTGGTGCCTGAACAGAGATCTATTAATGACTTGTACATTGTGTGTTAAGATAAAAATTGCCCTATATGCAATTCTCAAGCATAAGCTCCTTTTCCATGTGCTACATGATTCTTGCTTAAAATCTATGTCCAACAACTGGGGTGTTTTGTGAGTGTCAAACTCAAGTTTAAGTGCTCACTTTTGAGGTTTTGTACCACATCATTGGTAAAAACAATTACACATGGGATAGGGAACTGACATAACATAGTATTTCTGCAAACAACAAGTATCTGCAACTGTATTTCCCGTGACATGGCACATGCCATGCTGGCGTTAGTGGTCGCAGTTCACCACTAAAGGAATCACTGAATTATGCTCCTATTGCTGAACC